TTTAGGGCAGGAGTTGGGATTGAGTCTCTTCTGAGAAAGAGCAACGCGACAGAAAGCCCTTCCCAGGACGGAAGGGTCTCTGCAAACCAGCACGGGGCTTGCCCCAGAGCCAGCAGCCCCTGGTGGGGTCTTCACATCAGAGTCCATGGGACAGTCCTTCCTTCTGCAGGGTGCCCAGCTCCCGCCAGTATCTCTACATTTCTTGTGGTACAGGGAGTTCAACCACCAGTACACCTTGCTGGTGCCACCTGAGCATGACTGAAATGTAAGCATTTCTCAAGAGCTGGCAGGCACAGGGGGAGAGCCTTGAATCTGGACTGGCGTGCGTGGAAAGAAGTACGCTGATTTATTCCTTCTCTTCAACTCTAGGACAAGATAAGAGATTTTTCATTTTCAGGACAAGGAGGTTATATAGGTGAGTATTTCTCCTGCTCGCTCTCCTTCTCTCTCTCCTTGTAGACAAACAACATCAGTTTTCTGGCAGAGGCTCCCATGGGAAGGGTGTAGCAGGCCTGAGCACCCGGCATCTTTCCCATTTGTGCAGAAGCGGAAGGGTGGCTGCAGACTGGCAAACAGCTTTGCTGCTCCGAGGACCTCTCTGTTCACTCGCAGGGGAATCCAGGCAGCACAGCAACACTGAAATACCGGAGAGTTTGCAACATCTCTCCTGTATGGGCACAGCCCCAACGCCTGGGATTTCTACTCTGCAGGATATTCCATTGCAAGGTCTCTGGCTGTAATCTATCCGTCAGTGACCTGTGATGCACACCATCACCTCTTCCCCTGGTGCCACCCAAACCGCCCCTCCAGGCACGGGTGCCGCTCCAAGGGACGCAGGGTGCACAGGCTGGGGACACACGGGGTGCTCACCCGAGGACAGGGCACCACTGGCCATGCCCTCAGACACCACCATTAGCAGTCCAGGGACCTCCTCCTCTTTTTGCAAGGACAAACAGGAGACACAACTCATAGACACGCAAATTACTGTTGCTCCTGCAGTAAAAGCAAGGCCTTCTGCCCACTGTCCCCAGGAACCTGCTCTCCATGGGCAGTTTAAGTGCCCTGGAACTACACCAGAGGTGAGAGGACAGGAAAATCTCACCATACCTTGAAAAGAGAAGTAATACTGTTATCCCCAGATTATATACTGGGAGCAGAAGACCAAGATACTCAGCCAGCAGATGCCAGGAACCAAATCCTTAACTCTTTAGCTGTGGTTCAACAGGCTCACTATTGCCAACTGAAGTTACTATCCCTCCCGCCAAACCTTGTGCTTTTCTTTCTCTTTTCTTGCTTGCAGACCTTATATCCAAATCAAACCACCGCACCTGCACGCTGCCTTCTCAGCACTGGACAAGCATATTTAACAGCAGACCCTCCTTTTCCTCTGCACACATTTGCTTCCGAGCAGGTGTAAAACACGGGGTTTAAGCCATGCTGTACTGCCATTTGACAACCAAAACCTGCACCACCAGATCACGCTCGGGTGGAATCAATAATACGGGGGAAAGGCAGGAGCCAGAGCCCTCATGCAAGAAGCTGTTGGGCTGCAGCTTTGAAAGCTAGCTGCTGTTTTCTGCCCGCTCAGAGTTTCCGGGCCCCGTCTCCACTGCAAAGGTGTTGTGCAACCAGGGTGTTTTGCAACCACTGCCCGACTCGGCCGCAGAGCCGGTCCTGGGCTTCACTGGAGCAGCTCTGACCTCCTGCCCACCTGCGCTCCCCAGCCCACGCCGAGGCTACCTTTACTCCCAGCACACTAAAGCTTGGCTTAAAGTTGCAGCTCAAGCTCTGCAGGACGGGCTGAGAAAGCACTTACGGCCGCGGATGGGAAGGAGCACATGGATTTTTATCGCTTTGGGTGAGTCCGTAGCCTCAGATTGCTCCAGACCCAAACCCATCGCTTACGACGCTGGTCCTGCTTCTGGATCACCATCACTGGTGTAAATCCAGAGTGACTCCTTCAGAGCACTCCCGACTTGCCCTGCAAAGGCTGGAGAACTCCAGCAACACCTCCTCAAACCTTGGCTAACACCAGCCAGCACCAGAGAGCTGGAGAAGAACCAAGAGTCAAAGCCTGGGTCTAGGTCAAGTCAAAGACAAGGACAGCACAAAGCAAACTGTCACGTGAGCCTCACCTACCCATATTTAAACCTGACACCATAAAAACGTTACACCTAATTAAGCCACAAAACCAGACGAAAGTACCTCAGGCAAGATTACCACGTTACTCCTCCGGGAAAGACTTTGCCCCATTTCGGAATCAGGAACAGGCAGTGCCTTTGCAGGGATGGGTGGGGGAAGGCTGTGCCCCGCAGGGTGTTGCTGGATTAAGCCCCTGCCCAGATAAACACCTCCAAGTCTGTGGGAGAATGTAAAAATAATAACACTAAAACCTAAACAAACAGTAACAGTTTGAGGGCTTTGCTTTGGAATAAAAGATTAATAGACGTACTGATTGACTCAAGGGGCTGGGACAAAGGCTGACAGCCGTGTTTATTTTTTAGCATCTGCCTGTGGACTTACTGTGCTTGTGTCCGAGCAAATATTGCATTAAGGAAGCTTAGGAACCAACACATGAAGCATGGTCAGGTCGTCTCCAGCTCAGCCCGCAGGTTGCCTGAACATGCTGCCACCAAAATACGTCAGCAGGAGCTACAACAGCTTAACATTTAGGAGTAGGCTGGGCTGAAGATGTGTTCAGATGCCTCTGCAAAGCTACTCAGCCCTAGCAATACATGTTGACCCCGTTGTGACGCTTGGGGAAAAGGCTCCCTGAATATGGACTCTATAAATCTTGCAGCTCAGAGCAAGACGGTGCGAGTGAGCTGGCACCAAAAGCAGCTACTGTGGGATGTCGGGAAGGACCAGACTGGGCAAGGGACTTATGACACGGGATACCGAAGCCAAACAAGTGGCAGAGATGGAGGAGACACGTGGTCTTCCAGCAAAAGACCAAGGTGCAGCTCAGGGCTGCACAGTCCCTGTGCACAGACCCACAGATGCTCCTGTTCCACTGCTGTGCACACCTAATTCTGGAGAATTCAGGAAAAACCTCAGCAGTGCAGCAGCCTGGGCACTGCTGAGTAATTTGGCTGTTGCCTGGGTTTCGGCACCTTCTGCTGATACTTGGGGACCCTATTGGGCAACAGGCAGGTCGCTACTTGTGCTCTGAGATAAGTCTGTGCGCAAAAAGGCTCGAAGAAACACAAAGGGGATTGTGAAAAGCATCCTTCAAGACCTAATGCACGTTGACGAGCTCCAGCCACTGTCAATGATAAACCTGCTGCACCCATCAGACCTCCCTGCTTCCAGCTCTCGACGTGAGGAACCAGATCCCTTCTGAAGTCATCCCTTCCCACTGCCTCCCTGGTGCGCAAAGCCTCCAAAACACCAAGCATGCAAAAACCACAAGGAAGAACCCCCCCCCAAATAATCCCTGGAGAGGTTTAACAGACCAATTGCAAATACATTTGTGGTTCTTCTCACCCTGCCTCCTTGTTAAGCCTTTCCCATGCAGCTTGGTCACCCTGAAACAGCTCTCCTCTGCAGTGCAGGGACCCGGCTCTTGGAGAAGCTGAACCTCACGTAATCCCATGGCAGCAGGGGCCAGGGCTTCAAAAACGGGGCATGGGATGGGCATGATGTTCAGAGTAAGTGGAGAAGCTGAGATCCTTCTGCTAAATCCCCACATGGCAGAGCAGGCAGCGCTGCCTGCAAGGATGGACAGCAGAGAGGCAGGAGGAACCAGGGTGCCACAGGAATAAACCCAGAGCTGCATTTCATATCGTTGTCAATTTGAAACACCACCTAAAAAACCCACTTATTACAGGAGAGGGAAAAACCCAGAAGCCTTAAGTGACCGTTTTAAAGCTTTCAGCTATTTAATTGTGGCTTTCCACACGCTGATAGAGAAGCCAGCACCCTTGCCGCAAGAAGCCTCTCCTCCCCGCAGCACTCTCTGCATCCCTTGTATCTAGGGAGATGCCAAACATCTTGGGAGAGAGACCTCCTGAATGCCCCAAAGTGAAGGAGGACATCCAGCCTTGCAGGTGAGATGGTGGCAGTCACCTGAGGTGACATCAAGGCAGGCGTGACAGCCCTCCACAGAGGGAGCGGGTGGGCAGAGGAGCTCCTGGACCCCACTGAGAAGATGCTTTGCTCCTCCTCTCCCAAGGATGGCTTGCAGGCACCAGCGGTTGCTTTGAAAAACAGCTATAGCTGCACTACACCTTCACACAAAACCTGAGATAAATCTCCAGCCACGGTGCTCTGCAGCTCTCTGAGTGTCCAAGCTTCAGGCTGGACTCTGCACCATCCACCGCTCCCACCAAAGCCGGGCAGGGCCTCCACGGGGGAAGAGCTACCCAACTCTCCTGGAAAACACTGAGGTCTCTGCATCTAAACCCCCTGATCACCACCAGCTTCACACCTCTAAGCACTGCAGATACAAGGGAACATTTTCAGATACGCCCTGAAGATCGTGGATCCCAGCCGTGCTTCCAAAAACGATGCCTGCGCTTTGGGGCCACAACCTCGTTTTCTCCCAGTAAGTCCCCAGGTCACTTTTGGACTTGCCTCAAGCCCCTCAGCTCACTTTTGGACTCAAAGCATCAGCTCTCCGCTTGCTTTAGAAACTCTTAAAACATGAACTGCAAATCTGCATGGAGCTACATGAAATAAAAGGGACTCCCTTTGATAACACACATTTTTTGCTCTTACAGCTTGGTTGTTTTTCCCTCCTCTCCAGATGCCAGGTCTTTCAAATCCCACAAGGCTAGATTAAAAAAAAAACAAACAAAACAAAAAACACCAAGGCAGGTAGGAGATAAAAAAAACAGGTAGGGGAAAGGAAAAAAAAAAAAAGGAGTTTTCTATGGCCCAGATGAACCTAGCCCCCCTACTAACCATGGATAAGCAATATTTTCTAGCAGAATGGGGGGGACCATGCTGTGAAGAGTGGCCGTGGGTGGCCGTCCCCAGAGCTTCCCATGGGTACTTACTGGTGCTTGTGCTAGTGCCGATGGTGTTGATGGTTGTGGGGACGGAGGAGGAGGAGTAGAGGGGCAGATGGCCGTTCTCGCACGCCAGGTTTTTGTCCTGCCAGCTGGAAGCGCTGATGCTTATGCCCGAGTCTCGAGAATTTTGCCATCCGTTGAGTTTGTCGTCCGAGTTTTGTCTTTGGTGATAGTAGTGTGTCTGCCCGTAGTCCACCAAATCCGACCGACCTCTGTTCTGGCTGCCGAAGCCACCCGACGTGCGGTCCTCCAGGTGGTTGAGCCACATGGCCAGGGCACTCCTGTCCTCTAAGGAGGTGGCGGGGTGTATCAAGGCGTAGGACAGCAGCTGCCTGCTCTCCTCAATGTGTTGGTTGTGTTCAATCGAGTGGGCCAAGATTTTAGGCAAGAGTTTCATGTATTCGACTTTTGCCTCGATGTTTCCGGGCTTCAGTAAAGGCAGGTGGGTTAACAATAGGGAAATCACTTTATCCTTGGATTCCTGTTGCCATTGGTTAATGATTCCTGTTGAAGGAATAGGGAAAAAAAAAAAAAAAAAAAAAAAGGAAGAGAATTGAGAAATCGGCAAACACAGCTAATAAAGAAATAAATAGACCCTGGCAGGGTAAATACGACATGCCAAAGGGATGCCTGCATGTGTGATGCCACTGAGTGAGCATCTCCCAGGCACGGGGGTCACCGCTCTCTGAAAACCAAGTCACAGCAAGGTGTGCCGAATTGGACACTGAGAGTTGCTAGATGCTCCCAAAAATTACTAAAAAAGTCAAATTACACCCACCGCTCTGGCCCTGTAGCTCCTCTGCTGTTGTGTCCTAATGTTAAACAAAGTCACGATTTGGCCCAGATTTTCCTTATTGTTGCAGAGTGCACAAAATGCTACACAGAAGCACTCTGTGGGTAAACCTAACCTTTTAAAAGCACTGGTTGGAAAATGGGAAAGGTCAAGATTCAAATGAGCTGCCACAGAGGGCGAAGGGAAGAAGCATCCCAGTGGAAGGGCAATAACCAAACCGGAGTGTTGGCCCCTCCGCCAGCCTGGTGTGATGAGCTGCCCCAAAAGTACTGAGGGAGGGGCTCAGCTGAAGCAGCCATACAGCTATTGTCCCTCTGATAGTTCACGGCAGATAGGACGGGTTTTACAAGACCAGGAAAAAAAGCAAACATAGGGTTTAACTTTAAAAATATGCAAAAGGAAAAGCCAGGGAATTACAAACTCCTCACTTAACTCCAACTCCTGGAAAACTGATGGAACAAATAATGAAACAACCTATTTGTAAGCACTTAGAAGATAACAAGATGATAAGTGACTGCTGACACTGGTTTGTCAAGAACAATTTAATTTCCTTCTGCAACAGAGTAACTGGCCTGTGAATAGCTGGAGAAGCAGTCAGTGCTGTATATCTTGATATTCATTAGGTGCGGCCGCACAGGGCTTCCTCAGCCAGCACACCAGAGAAACACGCTCGGGCAAAACTATAATGTGGGCACACAACTCATCAGAAAACCATATGGAGAGAGTCATTACTGGTGATTCACTGTCATACTGGGAGGATTTGCTGAGCAAGGAGACTCGGTCTGGCCGTGACACTACCCTGTATGTCATCGGTGTTGTGGGTGATGTGATAAATGTATTTAATGTGCAGGTATCGTGGTAGGAGAAATAAAAACACTCCAGAAAACTGGATTAGAAGTCAAACAGTGTGGAGACCTGGAGAAAAGTTGGAAGAAAATAGCCGCCTTAAGTAGGTGCAAATATCTGCATGCAGGTGGGAGCAAATCACTGTGCAGTACCAGGCGGGGAAGAGCCTGGGGTCAGGAAGCATCACAGGCTGAACATCAGTCAAAATGCCATGTTGCACATAAAAACTGCACCAGCCAGCCTGTCATCTGCCTGAGAGCTGAAGACCAGCGTTGGCAAGCTGCTCTCCATGTCTCCTGGGGATTGCAGTAAGAGGTTTGGATTGCAGCAAATGTGAAAGAGATCAGACATGAAGAAACTACCTCCTACAGGTATGGTTAGTGACGAGCAGGGAGAGGTTGCCTACAGACGCTGGGAAATCTCCATCACTGGAGGTTTTTCTGAACAGCTTATACAAACACCAGACAAGGATAGACCAGGATCTACCTAAACCACCCACCTGAGGCTTCTCAGCCCCAGGTCAGTCCTCCAGCGTTTATGAAATCCCTCTTTGAAGCCTTCAAACTTTCTGTTCCTGTAGCAGACTGTGCCTAAGGGTGCCACAACAGAACCATCTGGTGAAAAAGGATTTCCCTCTCTTTGCTTTAAAGCCACTGCCAAAAACTTCACCAAGTGAAGTGCCCTGAACATCCAAGTTATTAAAAAAAAAAAAACAAACAAAACTTTGTGTTCTCTCACTGTCTGCTGCCTCCCATCCATACTGCAGAGCAAGCTGCTCTAAATCATTGATTATCCCCTATAACTTTCACATCTTTTTGAGCCAGGGTGACTAAACCCACACCAGTGAAATGATATCTGTCTGTCCATTTGTAGGATCACCCATCAGCTTTGTTCATGGGTAAAGACTCACACTGCCATCCAGCAGCTAACACAACCCTCCCACCACCCCCCCACCCAGGAGATGGCTATTGCAGCAGGGTCTTTGCCCAGGTAGGACCAAACCCTGGATGCCAGTTCCCCGCCACAACTCCGGTGCTGAGCAGCACTCGCCCCTCCAGCCTCGCGTTCCCAGTTTCAAGGCACGCAACCATTTTAATCGGAAGCCACTAGATGGCTTGCTGGAAACGCCGACAGCTCTCACTGGAACTTTCTGCACCCGTATTTACTTCTCCGCAGGCCCACCCCTCCCTCCAGAGCCGCTTCCTGACCCGGCATGCCCGAACCATCCTGTGCCTCTGGGCCGAGAGGTGCCGGGGACACGGCGTGGCACAGCTTTGGTGGAGAAGGAATCGCTTTGTTTGCAGCAGAAGCGAGTTTTGGTACTCTGGGCGCGCTCCTGTGCCCGTGGGGATGCTGCGAGGTTGTTTTTTGGTGCTAAAAAAATGGGATTTGGAAAAGCGACGCTCAACCTAAGCGAAGTTGTCAAAAATACATGAGCGTAGCAAGACTCAAGGTCCACCAGAGCATCTCTGTATTTTCCATGTGCAGATGCAGCTGCAACAGGCAAAGCTTCCTGGTGTGCTTAATCTGATTTCTCTGTCCCCTCTCTCTCCCTGCCTCTCAGCCAGCTGTCTGGTGGGTTGAAAACCCATCTTATTTTCTCCCCTCCTCCTGCAGAGGGGTGTCACCCATTCCCTTATCACCCCCGCATTTTATCATTGCCATTGGGGTGATTTGGCAGCACTTTTAGGCCGGCACAGCCAAACCCCAGCCTGGCACTGTCTGCAGGGAGAGCCTGTGGGATTTTGCAGCAGCTTGGATAAAGTGAGAAATCAAAAGATTATTAAAAAAAGGCATGCAATGCTTTGCTAAAAGAAGTCAGTGCCACTTGCACATAGGAACTAGGTGGCAAAATACATGCAGAAAAAGCAGAGTCTGGTGCAAAGTGAGTGCAGGAGAGGAGGAAGAGGATGGGGGAGGCAGGCGGCCCCAGCCGGGCTCCTCTTCCTCGCACTGTGGGGAGCTGAGTGTGAAGGTCACCATTGGAAAAACACAGGATGCTGCCACAGACACTTCTTGGGAAACTTGCCTCAGACTTCCAAGAGATTTGGGATTTTGAAATTACAACCCCAAAAGATGAAGCACTGATCCGAAAGCCTGAGGCTGGCGAGGGGCTGGGCGCCCTTCACTACCCCAGCAGGAGCTGGTCTCCTTCTCAGCCAGCAACAGGATGTGCACAATTAAACAAAAATGGAAAATAATTAGATTTGAAAGAGGTTCGGCTCTCTCCGAGACAGGGCGGAAGGTCAGGCTTAATCCTATCTGCTAGAAAATAGAGGGATCTGGGGAGGGCGGCACGGGAGGAGGAAAGCTGGAGCTGCCTCTGGGCAGGGGGAGAGGGGCTGGTGACCCCCGTGAAGCCCCTCTCCACCCTCTCCCCGAACACAGGAGCCCCCACTTCAGCTCCTTACCTGCTGCCACGCACGCCTGGACACCTGAGATGTCTCACCCCTTACTGTCAGAACAAGCCCCCCCAAGTCAGCCGCGGTTGGGATGGGTCCCGGTTTTGGGCTCCCACGTCCCAGGAGCCTGGCACGCTACCTGCGGTGGGGTAGGGGATCGCAGGCACTAATCACATTACAGCCTCATTAGTTCCCCTGAGTGCTGCTTCAAGGATGCCTGATGCTTTCTGTCACAAGGCTTTCGCTGCTCTATAGGATGCCAAGGCTATGGATATTTGCCACAGGCAAATCTGAGCACAGAGAAAGCCCCAAAGTTAGAAACCCCACCATGCTGCTTTGAAACTCCCCCAAATCCCTGTCCTGCCCGTTGCTTTCATTACACTGACATCTCCTTTTGGAGCTGAGCTAAAATAACAACTGACCATGAGCACCCCAAGGAGCCACCTCCCACGCCAGCCCTGTGACTCCTGTACTGTGAAGGGATGGGAGCTGCTGGCACCCCCGACGCAGAAAATCACCATTTTTATTATGGGACTCTCTTTCTCGGGTGAGAGGCTGAATGAAGGTGGGATGTGAAACTACTTTCTAACTTAGGACTTCTTACCCAATGTGATTTTGCTGCCACACAGCACAGCTGATGCATGTGCACGGTGCCTGTGTATAAATATAGCACCAAATATAGCCAGGTCCTGCTTCCAAGGCTGAAACCTGTGCTGCGCTATGAATAGGTCCAATGCTATCCCCAAAACTGGGGCTTTCTGGCTTGAGAAAGAGGTGATGTTTATCAATTTAATAAGCACTCATCGGATTTCTCTGTCACCAATCTGCTTAATCACTTCTGGATCCCTGAAAACTGTTAATTGCCTTCACGTCCAGTGGTGACGGATCCACCTCTAACGCCACGCTGCACGAAGGACCTTCTTGCCTGTGCTATGAGCCTGCCTCCTGATAGATCACTGGGTTATTTCAACCGCCAGCAAGGCACGTGGAGCTCCTGGAGCTGTTCATGATGTACCAGGAACAGTTGCAGTTTCTCAAAGCTAAAGCCAGCCTGGATGGACAAAGGCTGGGATACACACAGTCCCTGTGGACGCCTGCAAAAACCAACGCAGGCAGCACACCAGTGCCTGCATTTAGAAACCTTAAAGTACCTAACTGCCTGTTTTTTTTTCTTCTATTTTTGATTTTTGCAAACAAACCTCCGGCCCCCCACTGCGAAAACACCGATCCTGCCCAGAGGGATGGCTGAGAGGAGCTGGCAGCACAGGCACACGAACGTGTGTGTCTCACCAGGAAAGATGTCTCGAAGGAACAATGGCAATGCAGGATACCTCTCAAGTGCTTAAAAAGATCCCAAAAAGCAACCATCCCCAACCAAGATAAACCTTTTCATTGTGAAAGCAGAAATTGGGTTATCCTCCTGTTGACAGAGACGCCTTATCACATTTTACAAGTGAAGCAGA